TAAATTCAGTAAATCAATTGTTTTATCATGAAAATGCAACATCTATCTCACACTTCTTGTTGGTACCATCAACGGACCATGCCCTATTCAATTGACATGTAAATACCGAAACATATCCTCGTAAAATTCATCTTGGAGAGAGCAAAAAAAACATAGACCTCAGATTCAAATTTTTAAAGAGTTAATTTTACATAATATTTGACCCCCATAATTAGTTAAAAAGTTTCTTATATTTTTTATTAAATTGTTCTAACCTCATAAATTTCAAATATCCGGTGTTATAATGTTATTCTCTAAGCTCTATACTCAAATTTGATATTGTTCGAATTACTTCATTTTTGTGACATGGGAGCGTGTTGAGTCCACGCGAAAAAAGCGTAAAACGACAACGTTTTATAACCTTAATGTCGTGTCACTTTCCTCGCCTTTTCTTCCAAATTTCCTCAGAGACTATCTTTATCCCTCTCACTTCCCTCACTCACTTTACCAAACTCTTCTCCAATGGCCGCCATTACCGGACTGTCCGCTCTCTCCGCCACCCCTAAATCTCCTCCACCATCACTTCTGGCGTCGCCTCTACACATCACCCATCCGTATCTCTCCAGATTCCTAAACGTGTCTCCGTTTCCCGCGCTCTGTACCTCTCGCCGGAGAAGGATCCCGTTGATTCCGGCGTGTTCTTCGATTGGCGACGGAGAAGAAACGGTTGAGTCAAGAGATGGTGATGATGGGATTAGAGAGACAATGATGTTATCTGTTTCTCCTTTGCCTCTTCTCCTCGTTGCTTCTCTCCCTGGAGGTAACCTCACCACAAAGCTCCAATTTTTATTCAGATTTGTCTCCAGTAATATGCTCTTCGTTTCCATAACTTCAATGGGTCGAAGACTGAATTAGTTGAAGCATCTTTTAAATCAAATTGTATCCCCTTAAGTAGCCTTGTTGAGTATATAAGCTTAAGTATGCATTGTTGGTGAGAAACTATTTGTGTGAATGCTATATATATATCAAAACTATGGCTTTTGTGTGTGACACCTGTTTGAATTCAAATCCAATCGTTTTACCTCAGATTTACTAGTTAAACAAGTTGGATCAAGAATGCTGTGACTTGTGAGTTTGTGACAAGTTGTAAATGAGATGGTTAATGCTTATCTCTCTTGTGGCAGCTGCAACTGTAAGATCTGCTTTTGGTCCCTTTGTGGAGATTGTAAAATCATTGAATCTACCTGAATGGCTTGTTCATTGGGGTCATCCAGGGAACATGGTATTGTTTTACTCTATTGATTCCTCTTCCTTCATTACCATTTTCATGCTTCTTTAACTTTGGTCTCATGTGCAAGATTTCACTAACAATGTGTTCGAAAAACCAATTAGAAAGATGTCCTGGTTCCGCAGATGGACTTGTTCTTGTTTTGTTTATGAACATTCATCTATAATTGTCTGTGATGGTTTTGGATTTTTGTCACCTGTTTTTCTCTCAGGCAGTGGTTCTTTTTGCTATGGGTGGCTATGGAACATACCTAGGCTTCCGGATTCGTTATTCAGATGACATTGTAAGACTATTTAACCGAACAATCTGGCTATAATATCACAAGAACCGTTGTTGCTCAAAGAGCGTTTTGTTTTCTTTGTTTTGAAATGTCAGGAGGAGAAGGCAATGGCAAAAGACCTGCACCCAAAGCTTCTAGCCGGAATGTTTTTCTTTTTCGCCCTTGGAGCTACTGGCGGTGTCACATCCCTTCTTACCTCTGACAGACCCATCTTCGAAAGGTATCTTTTTTTTTCATACATACGAAACTCTCATTTACCGATTCCAAACCTGAAGAAACAGAACACTGTCTAATTGTAGCAAGAAGAAATTAGAAAGACCTATGTTTGAATAGAGATGATGAATCTCTTTTAACTTAGTATTGAGTTTTCATTTTCAAATACACTGACTAATTTATGCAATTTATAGCCCGCACGCTGTTACAGGAGCCATAGGTCTTGCCCTCTTGACGATTCAAACAATTTTACCAACTTTGTTTAAGGTAAAGCACAACAATGCAGGATTATTCTGATCAATAAACCTTGATGATTTATATAGTTTTGGGATCAAGAAACTCGGTGTTTTCAAAAATGTGCAGAACAAACCCGAGCTGAGGAGCGTACACGGGATCCTCGGGAGCGGAATAATGGCGCTTTTTCTTGTCCATGCTGCTCTTGGCCTTCAGCTCGGTCTCAGTACCTGACTATTCTTTACTGATATCTTCTCATATGTTTGTATTCTTCAGCTGCTACACAACCAATGTTCTTTAGTTTTTAAAAAAATGAAATTAAGTTGTATAACGTCCTAAAAGTTTAATAAAAGAAAATATACTTTATATAGGTTTTTTATGAACATAACATCTAAATCATATTTTTCCAGTTCATTATCACTACCTAACCTAGTTAAAGTCACTTTGATTCAGCTTTGGTTTTAGTTTGCATTTGATCTTCAATTTTAAGTTTGTGTAAGACTACTTTAGCTAATTTAAGTGTTTGTTTGATTTTTGATCAAAAGTCACACGAAATTCTGTTTAACCTAATTGAACACTCATATATTTTTTCAATATTTCACGTATTTGTAGTTTATTTAAATTATTTCTATGCAAAATGCACATCGTCTAAATTTCAGAACAACAAAATCTAAAGAAAAAAGTTGAATTTAAAAAACCAAAAAATAAAACAACCAAAATATGATAAGGTTTTTTTTTTTTTGAAAAATCTAAACCACTCCTTGATGCCAACAACCATGGTCCATGCGTTATCCGGAGAATCCGGTTCGGAGTTACATGTCGATATCGGGTCGGGTCATGTTGGGTATTCATCTCACCAA